CCCCCCTGCCACTGGCTTCTCCTGCCCCATGCTCTGGCTGCGGCCAGCCCTGTTGCTCAGGTCTCCTCACCACAGAGCTGCGTGGTGGGAGCAGGACCTGCCACACCCTGCACCACCTGAATGAGTGGCGATCAGCCCTCTCTCTAATTTTACCTCTTCCACGAACAAGAAAGAGACGGCACCCCCAATGGCCCGACGCTGCGATCCACTCCCAGTCTCAGCTGGCCTCTGGTCACAGGCTAGCACACCAGCGAGGGCCAGACACAAACCCAAGCCCTCCAAAGCTGAGGGCCCAGTGGCGTGGCTTCCCCAAACCGCATCGTGGGCCTGGTCTCAACCGCACGCTCACGTGGGCAGCAGCTGCGAAGCAAGTCCAGACGCACTGCAGGTCTAATGCCTGCCACCGAGCTCAGGGAGCGGGAGGGGTGCAAGAGCAAGACGACGGAGGCCACCAGGCAGCCGGGCCCCAGCCGGACCCTCCCTCTCGCCCCAAACTTGGGTGTCTTCTCTCGCTGCGTGACTCCACTCCGAGCAGCCCCAGCCTGACCCGCTCTGCCAAAAAAACACACCCTGCCCGAGAGGAGGCCTGTGACAGCCAAGCTCACCCAGGCTGAGGCCGCCAGCTGGGGACGGCAGGAGTCAGGCCCAGGCAATGCGCACCGCTCACGCAGAACATGCTTAGCGCGAACAAGAACTTCGAGCCCTAACTCGGGAAGGGACGGGCCTACCCGCCGCACCGTGCTCTCCGGCAGGAACGCGCTGTCCTGGAGCTTCCTTCCTGTGGCCTGCTGACTTCCTTCCCAGAGGGACGAGCGTCCCCCGGGGAAGCCGACTTTCCCCGCCCCAGCGCACGGCAAGGTCCTCGTGGCCTCCCCATCGCCAGGGGGCAGGAACCCGAGCGGGGGCTGTGGACGGCAAACTGCTGAGGCCCCACACGCTGCCTCGGCTCCCGCTACAGGACGTCTCACTAGATGCTGCAGCAGCTGGCCCTGCTCTTGGAGGTCCAGACACGACAGTGCGGACCAGGCTTCCACCAAGGTCACAAGGAGGGCGCCTGCAAGCATGCCCGTCCCCAGTAAGGGTTGCCTCCACAGCCATAGGCCGTCCCCACACTCAGTGCCACCGCCCCTCGCGGCTGGATAGCCTGGGCTCGGGGCTCCATCGGCCTCTGAAGATCCAATCGGTACATCCGGGCCGCAGCCTGCCCACGTAAGCCCAGGGCCCTCCCAGGCGTCATGCGTGCTGTGTCCTCTGCTCCACACCTGTGCATGGGACCCGCAGGGCTTGGCCTCCCGTGCTCGCTCTGACCCGCGCTGCTCCCCACGCTGTCCCCCAGAGCACCTGGGGAGAGCGTGGCTCAGCCCCCACGCTTCCATTGAAGCACAGTCCTCTTCACGCGGCGACAACTGCCTGGACTTCCCTGAAGAGACGTCTCTTTTCAGTGTGTGCACTGGGGGGATGCACCCCGGCAGGGCCCGGCAGCCACTGCAGACGCGGGCTCTTATCCCCACGCTACGCACTGCCAGCACCCGGGAAGGCGGCCACCGGCACCTCCCACAGGGGCTCCTTGGTGCCAAGAACGCCGTGTCGCCGCGATGGGACACTTGTGTGTGCCACTGCCCGTGACCGCACGGCTGCCACCTCAACACTGCCTCACAGTCCAAAACAAAGCACAGGCACGGGCGACCCAAAGCACACGCCACTGGCAAGACACCCCGCCAGGACAGCTGCACAGGGGCCACATGTGGTCTTCTCCCTTTTTTTTTGAGAGAGATTTTTGCTATAGGCTGCATGCGCTCTCTGCAGAGACAGAGAGGGGAAGAGAGGAGAAAGTGAGGGATCACCTCCAAGGGGAGGACGGCCACACCACAATCCCTTCTCCTCCACCCTCCTCTCGGGATTTTGGGCACACACG